TATATTAGAGTGTGATAAATATTTAAATGTCAGACGTTACTATATTAAGATATATTATTATAGAAACCCATCTACTTTCAAACTAGTTCAGTTGTTATCTATAAGAAACATAAAGGAGTTAAATAATCTGGGTAAATACCTTTATGAGGCAGAAAATATTCGCAACAGATGATTGTTTATGTACTGTTTATATCTATGTAAATTGTATGCCAAACTCCGTTACATGTTAGAAATTGTTTATGTCATTAATGCTGTATATGTTTATGTAAACTGTATAAATTGTGTATCTGTTTAATCCTATGAGCTGTATTTGGTTACGAAATAAAGTATTAGTATAGCATACAAATCATAATACATGTAGTTATTTAGTAATACATAAAATGACGTCATGAATTTGGTTTTGTCCCAATGGTGGTAGAACATTAAGGATGTTCGCTACTCTGTTAAATATCTAGAAATTGACAATGAGGGTCGGTTGAAAACAAAACTTTACGACAAAAGAGATGATTTCAGCTTCCCAATTGTGAACTTTCCATTTCTATGTAGCAACATTCCAGTAGCGCCTGCATACGGAGTATATATCTCCCAATTGATACGATATTCCCGGGCTTGTGTTTCCTATCATGATTTCCTTGATAGAGGATTGCTGCTCACAAGGAAGCTATTAAACCAAGAGTTCCAAATGGTGAAGTTGAAGTCATCACTTCGTAAATTTTACGGACGCCATCACGAGTTGGTTGACCGTTATGGAATAACCGTTTCACAGATGATATCGGATATGTTCCTTATGTCGTAACTACAATACCTTTCCCTTTTCACGAATGTGACTTACCGAATTAGACTATTTACCGGATTTGTAATAACATAAGCAACTCGACGGGTGCCACATGTGGAGCAGGATTTGCTTACCCTTCCGGAGCACCTGAGATCACCCCCAGTTTTTGGTGGGGTTCGTGTTGCTTAGTCTTTAGTTTTCTGTGTTGTGTCATCTGTACTATTATTTGTCTGTTTGTCTTTTTATTTTTGGCCATGACGTTGTCAGTTTGTTTTCGATCTATGAGTTTGACTGTCCCTCTGGTATCTTTCGTCCCTCTTTTACAATAAACAAGCTTTTTAAAAACTGATAGTATATAAATCACAGAACTAAAATAAGAAGAAAAAATGAAAGGTCCGTGTCCTTGTATTTTTCTTTCGAAATCAATGAAAAAATAACAAGGATTCTATAAGATTTTGAAAAATAGGTTTAGAAAGAAAACTAGGGGTTAGCGGGCAATTGTTTTAATGGCACTTTCAACAACATCAGCACATTCGTATGAAACAATTGATAAACATGTGAGAATATATAATCGAGTACTACAGAAGTTTTCAATTACCTGTTTGAGCAACCAAACAAAAACTAAATAAACTGTTTTGCCAGAACCAATTAAAGACAAAGACATCGTGTATAATTGATTCATTCAGAGGCTGAACAGACACTTTCATTTTCATGACAAAATTACCATTGCTGTTTCATACAGTTGTCATATTGAACAGTAAATATTCATACCAGTTTGTAAAATTGATGAAATTTAATACCTGATAAAAAAAAAAGGTGATAATTATTTATGACATAAGTATAAAAATAGAGTAAATTGAGTACATGAAGGTATAAGATAAGGAAAAGTGACCTTATACCATATATATACGGGGTCAGTAGATTCCATCATTTTCTTCATTGTAGTTTTTACACACCTTTTAATACAATATTTTTGATACAATATCGACAGGAAACTGGTAACATCAAACAATCAATGCAATGTATGCTTCTTCCACAGCTCTAAGCGCGATAACAAAGTATATAGCAATCGGTTACTGGCTACAGGCATTCCAATAGAAAATTTATCTAACTTCTTTTGTCGACGTCGATGTGTTTAGTGTATATTTTTGAGTTTTCCTTTGTTCCTCACAATAAAAAGCATGAACTTACTGTTAGATAGATTTTGTTATTAAATGCTGAGGCGGATTGAGGCGAAGAAAATTAAAAAAAAAAACGTTCCATTTTCATCAGTTTTAGGTGTAAAGTTGATTTTTGTCAGACAAAGCGGTATACATCAGACCTTTTACTGGTTACTATTAAAAAAAAATTGTTAGATAAATTTAAGCAGAATAGTCAATGACGTCATTGTTTTCAAATGAAAATTGAGTTTGAAAAAATCCGGGAAATATGTTGATAAAACTATTAACCGGGGTAATAGTCTTTGAAACAATTGACTGGCAAATAGTCTGTGGAATGAAATAGCACAAATATTTCATTCTTTTTATGTAGAAAAAAGCATGCTGAGGTATAATAATTTCATATGATTTAAAGACCCAAAAAAAAGCAGTAAATAGTTTCTTTGATACTGATTATGCTTACATTTGACTTTTCAGCTCAAAAGTATGATTTTCAACTTGTAATGCGTAACTTGCGTTACTTCTATTGCTACAATTATATGCATAACATCAACACAATGTTCAATAGGATTGCTGGTATCCTCGTGAAAATGTGAAAGTTCTATTGCCGCAGTTAGGTTAAAATTCGAAACAAAATCAAGAAAGAATCCGGGCTTATAATTTAGTACATAGGTCGCACTTTTCGTCTACATCCGACTCTGTAGTTGTGCTCGAATCAAAACAGTTGGAAGGCCTATTAGTACATGGAAGATTTCGAAAAATTGCAAAAAAAAAACGTTTAACCAATTCTGGATAAGGCCACCTATATCTGGGGGTAGAAAAGCTTTTAGCATTTCGAATGATATTAAAGTTTTATAATCAGTAAATGTTTACAAAAAAGGAACAATCAATTATATTTCATGTACCGTGTGGACTACTGAGCTGATGATATCATCGGGCAAAACGTCCACCAGCCGTTGTATCGACCCAGTGGTTGTTAAACCTCATCAACAATACCATCCTGATGATTTAGTACATCAGCTGCGCGTTTCGTCACTAGCGCTCTAATCAAAAAGGAAGTTGCACAGCATTAAAAACGAAAATTCCTCCATACACAGTTTTAGCTTATCTTGCTTATACGTATAACTCAAGGTGGAAGAACTAAGCGTTTCGATTGATTGTAAAGCTTTATGAACAGTAAATTTACAACAACTCAAAACATTTACTAATCATGTCATTATTTATACAATAATTTGTTCCGTATGATGGACGTAGTTTTTTCAATACACAATCGGCATTTCTTTGGGAATTAACTATTTTCCTTTTTGTAAACATTTTATATTAGAGGATTGATTACACTGAGTCTGCTTTTCGTGCGTGTGAGAATCTTGATACTGCTTTATTATTATTATTATATCGGCTTTTAATATGAGGCAGGCATTATCTGTGAAAGGGGACGAAGTCTATATAAATTATTTTGTTTAATTCAAACATATTTTAAGTTCTAAATCTGTTAAAAAAGAAACGGAAATACCGTAACGTTTCCGATTTTGGTTCTGTTATTTTAGTTATGACGTCATATTCAATGTAAACAAAGAAACGCTATCATCAGGTAACGTTTTTTTCATATCAAAGAATAATTAGAAATGAAATTGTTATTGTGTTCCTTCCTATATTTTACTGGACTGATAAATATATATTTCACTCAAAGTCTCATGACAAACGAGACCGGAAGAAGGAAGCAGATTTCTGCGCATGCGGAAATTAAAAAATGTTACAAAAAAAAAGTTAACGATTTTGAGTTCATTAGTACAATGAAAATTTCGGGAAATTTTCCCGATTTTTTTTTTTTTTTTTTCATTGATTTTTCTACTGTAATAGGGGACTTCGTCCCCTTATTATTTTGTCATAGATATAAGCGCTTTACTTGGACTGGTTTTTATTGCATAATTTTTTATAGGCTCTGTGTAAAGTATTTACAATTTTAACTCGCGACGAACTGGAGAAAAGCATTTTGTATAAACACCCGTCTAATATTGACCCCTTCAGAAATCTTTTGAGTTATATGTAACTATGATCGATAGTTAGTTGATTTTTAATGACTTGTATTTCTCATGTCCATCCATTTAATAGGAAGCTATTTGAACCAAGGAATTTTAATGGTAACGTAGAGATCCTTTTTTCTACTAAAGTTTCATTTTACGGAAAGATAGAAACTTTAAAAGCCTACAATGTTCGGCAAGACAAGATCTACTCATACGTCTAATGACAGATATCTTCAGTTGACTCTTTATCAGAGTTATTGCTCTTTAATGACGATTTTACCAATTTTTAGTGTTTTTGTCTAGTATCTTGAAAACGATTATAGATAGATACTTAAAATAGCAAAAATGATCAGCATGACAAGATCTGCAAATAAGTCAACATGACCGAAATCGTCAGTTGACTCCTTCTTGGATGTCTTGCTCTTTAATGCCGATTTTAACAATTTTTCGTGCTTTTGTATATTATCTTGAAAACTATAAAAGATAGATAGACACTCTAAATAACAAAATAAATCAGCCAGACAAAGTTTACTAATGATTCAAATTTTGTGGAAATCGTTAGTAAACTCTTTACTTCGTAAATTTTCTTTACTTCGTAAATTTTACGGACGCCATCACGAGTTGATTGACCGTTACGGAATAACCGTTTCACAGATGATAGCGGATATTAATGTCGTAACTACAATCACGTCCCCTTTTCCCGAATGTGACCTACCGAATTAGACTTATTACCGGGTTTGTACTAACATGAGCAACACGACGGATGCCACATGTTGAACAGGATCTGTTACCCTTCCGGAGCACCTGAGATCACCCCAGTTTTTGGTGGGGTTCGTGTTGCTCAGTCTTCAGTTTTCTATGTTTTATGTACTATTGTTTGTCTGTTGGTCTTTTTCTTTTTTAGCCATGGCGTTGGCAGTTTATTTTTCGACTTATGAGTTTGAATGTCCCTTTGGTATCTTTCGCCTCTCTTTTATAGGAGTAATTGTCCTTTAGTGACGATTTTTTTGCTCTGTTTTGTTTCTGGCCAAAAAGAAAAGAAGATAGAAAGAAAGTGTAATTAGAAAATAAATATCAGCAATACAAGATAAAAAAAGATTTTTGTCATGAATTTTATTCTAGTCTACGATGTTCGAAAGTGTCCATTGTTGAAGATGCACACAGACTTTTTTCAGTTTAAATTACAATATTCAAATCTACTTTATTTCCACCACTATTTTCCCAAGACTCTTCCCTGTGTATAAATACTGAAATTAAAAAAAAAATAATGAGTTAGATTACAGTATAAGCAAATACAGACCTGCATATACGCAAGTTGTTTAATTCTACTTCTGTTTTCTATCATTTTGTGCAAGCTCTATCTTTGATCTGGAATCACAGACAAACTTTTAGAAATATGTTATAATGAACCATTCATAAACAGAAATTCCCTTTCTTAATACAACTTACCGAATGCATATTATATTCATTCATTCATGCATTCATTCGTTTACTTTACTGATCACATCTTACAAAGTCTATCCGAATCATCTGCAAAGAATTTCGCTCAAACCGGTGCTAGGGGGGCGTCTTAAACTTGCAGTGAGGTGAGAGGTTTTTTTTTGCTCCGTGTTGAAAGCCTCGCTGTGACTTTAAGAAGAATAACAACAATAAATAAAAGCGCTGTTCCTTTGCTTTTTGTCTATGTTTTTTTTTCTGTACATGCACTGGTATTTTTGTTTCATGAATGGATATATCATTGGGCATATCTTTTGTTTTTCTATTATAACCTGTCGACGCAGCCTGACTCAGTCTTTTATGGATTTCATACGATTCCCTCATTTTTTGCTTATAGCCTTGATTTGTATCGATAAAAGAAGAAAAATGCCGATCTCAAAGGTAAATTCAAAAAGGTGGAGATTTATAAAACCTGACAAAATCAAAAGTAAGACTTTCTCAACCAACAAAACGAATGGAAATTAACTGTCATATTTTTGACTTGATACGGTCATTTTTCAAAGAAAATGGTGGGTTTAACCTGGTTTTGTAGCTAGCTAAACCTCCCACTCGTATGACAGTTGCCTATAGTTCCGTTATATTGACAAAATTGGGTGAGCAACCCAAAAACAAATAATTGTAAACTACTGTTTCCTCTAATAAAACAACTGATTTACCTCAACAGCGTCGGCTACTTTATCAATACCCACAAAGGGTCCATTAGGTAAGTTTTTACCGGTGTCCACCAAACTTTTTATTTGACCATTGTTGTACATCTCAGCAATCTTTCCAGGAAATGTGAACATTTCAACAGGATAATGAGGAAGGAAAAATCCCCGAACACTTAAAGACTTTGTCAGCACCTTCAAATTGGATATTCAAAATATATGATCAAATCGACAACACAGAGTCAAAACTATTTAATCATGTTAATATTAGTGTATGCCTGAAATCTACTGAAACCAATTTTCTTCTCGAAACTAGTGTGTCTACTTTCATATTTTTTACAATCATGAAAAATTGTACTTTAAATATATTCATTTATATAATTCTAATTTAATGATAGTCCAATTTTGTTTCAACTTCTTGAATATAAAAAAGAGATGCTGTTTGATTGCCAAAGAGACAACAACACCATTCCAAAGTCCAATGACTTAGATGCACGCAACTATACGCCTTCTCCAATGACCAAATCCCATACCGTATAGTAAGTTATAAAAGCATGTATTTGGTGATACTTACCTTTTGAGGTAATGATTCAAAGAAAGGCATCACTTGTGACGAGGTATCTGTTACGTACTTGCTTATGAAACCAATAATCACCAACCGACCTCTCACTTTCAAACTTTAAAAAAAATATATATATTTTAAGTATATCTACTGTATGTGTATTCCGCATGTTAACTCTCATTGTATCATGCCTAAAATATATTAAGAAGACAAACGTGTCCGTTTCCATTTGGTATGAAACAAACCAAAAAATTCACCGATTGTTGAATTCAGATCCATATATTTATACTTCAAACTCGGGTATTTAAAACCGGCTCAAGATGCTTGATTTCTTGATTGACAACATATTTGTTAAGTTTAGATGACGTGTTTTTCAACAAATAATCGGCATTCTCATGGGCACCAACTGTGCTAATCCTCTTGCCGACTTGTTCTTTTATTCATATACGGCTGACTTCATATAGGGCATTCTTAGAAAAAATGGAAAGAAACTAGCATTCTCCTTTAACTTCACGCTCCGCTATATAGATGATGTCCTCTCACTAAATAATTTAAATTTTGATGACTATGTTGAACGTATCTATCCCATCGAACTTGAACTAAAGGATACAATAGATAAGTTTAAGTCTGTCTGACATCTAGAAATTGACAATGAGGCTAAGTTTAGAACAAAACTTTACGACGAAATATATGATTTCATCTTCCCAATTGTTAACATGCCATTTCTATGTAGCAACATTCAAACAGCGCCTGCATATGACGTAGATATCTCCCAGTTGATATGATATTCCAGAGCTTGCATTTCCTATCACGATTTCCTTGATAAAGTGTTGCTGCTTACAAGAAAGCTATTGAACCAAGAGTTCCAAGTGGGGAAGTTGAAAACATTCCTTGGATATTTTTAAGGACGCCATCACGAGCTGGTTGAACGATATAAAATATCTGCTTCACAGATTACGACGGATATGCTCCAATTGCCGTAACCATATCCCTTTCTTCTTTTCTTCGAATGTGCTATACCGAAGTAGACTTATCACTGGGTTTGTACTTACATGAGCAACACGACGGGTGCCAACTATGGAACAGGGTCTGCTTACCACCGGTTTTTTTTGTTAGGGTTCATAATTGTTACTCTTTAATTTTCTGTGTAGTCTTTTGTATAATTTTATTTGTCTTTTCTATAGTTTTCAGTTGGCAATGATGCTGTTGTTTTTCTTAATTCATGGTTTTTGATTACCGCGGGTTATCTTGTCCCCCTTTTTTGAATCTCATGTCTCGTGTTGGGGGAATACCGTTTTATCTGAACGTTTAAGAACTCTTTATGCGACCTTTTAAGGACTATTAAGATGATCTGTTGCAAGTCTAAATGTTTTGCTTTTCTCAAAGTATGTTTTCCCATTGCAATTGAAATTTTCTACAAATCTTACAGGTCCACCATATTTGCAGAACCTATTTATTTGATGTCTTGTTTTAATTCTCAGTCTCATAGTGAATATCTATGTAATAGTTGCCATTGGAGTTGGGCAAACAACAAAAGATTAACAAATATACTTGTTTAAACATTTTTGTATTATCAATTTTCAACTGAATAATGTTTTATTCATAGTGGATATTTCCCAAAGTTATTATGTTTTTCTCGTTAACAGTCTAGGTTTTTTATTTAATCCTTTTATGTTATAAATTATTTTCCACTTATCTTGTCTCCTTATAAAACTATTTATTTGTTACAAGATTTCATGTAAGCGTAAAAATATTTTAAAATAATTATTACTTATTAAAACAGGTTTCAAACATTTCACCGCCAACTGATTCGTACACAACGTCCAAACCATTCTACAAGATCATGAAAAAAACTAAAATTAAATTATGTTTTCTAAAGAGACCAGCATTCGCATGTATAGTTCACCTCCATGAAGTTCCAAAAACAATTTATGCGCAAGGCTTCATTGTTCTAATATGCTAGTTTGTGTGGTATATCATGTAGTCCTAATGCTGGTTTACCTACAAACATACCTAAAACTTATTCTTTTGTGCCTTTTAACATTTTTCAACATTTGATTTTTAATATATGAGTGGTTATTAATATATGCAAACCCGGAAAGGAAAACTATTCTCTTCCTTGATTTAGCTTGAACTTGATATAAAGTGTATGAATGAGGTACGGCCAATTTTTTTCTGTATCTGTATCCCTCACATACACGGTCAAAATCTGAAAGTTTTTAAATCCTACTAGTATTCGAAAATAAAATAATCTATATAATATTCTAACTCAGATTATCTCAAATTTATATATTTCAATCAAATAAAAATGTTTTTCAGTCCTACAAATTGCTGTTAAAGACAACATTTTGGCATCGAAGTAAGTCCCTAATCAAAATAGATATCAAAATAAATAAATGTGTATCCGAATGACAGTATATAGTTCTAATCCCAAATCAATTTTGGTTTTGGATAAATGTTAAACAGTTGTAAAAATCTGTCAAAATTGCAGTCGAACCATCTTTAGGCATCTTTAATTCGATCACATACACAAAATACACCTTGATGTTGCTATAACTCTAAAGTACACATTTGAATCTACTATACCGTGAATTCTAGAAAAAAATGGAGAACTTTTCAAAATGGTATTGGTGTGAAATCAATTGAGGGAAAATTGGCCTAACCTCTTTTCTTGTCGATGAGTCTTGCGATCATTTAATGAGGTTTCCATCAACGTTTGCTGCTCTTATTTTATTTTCATTATTATTACTTTGATATTGAGCTCCAAATCATAGTTTTCTTTTCTTATTGATAAAAAGCATTATAATACATTCATACCGGATACTCAGCTTTCAGGACTTCATTTATATTTTCTGTTTTGTAGTTAATTGTTCTATCACAACCAAGGGTCTAAAAGAGGAGAGAAACGAGTTTATACCTTACAATAGTATTACGAAAATTGTGTTTGTTGTAAAAATCACATCGAATATAAAAAAAAAAAAAACGCGCATAACTTGAAATACGAATAATATCCCTGTTTGAAAGAAAGAAAAACTAGATATAACATCCACCTTAATATCTAATACTTTATTAAAAAAAAAAGAAAAAAGTGTCTTTCAAATTTGCGTTTCCGTTTAGATTTTTTGGATTTACATAGGCCCTGTTTAGTTAAAAGCACTCTTAAATGAACTTGTTATCCATGTCAAATCGTTTAATAAGAATCAGATTCGCTCAAGTGAGAATGTATTTTTGTCCAGCATATAAGGTTTGTGGTCTGTATAAATTTGTTTCCAGAAATGAATGAAGCTTATCAATCAAAATACCCTATAGTGGTCACTTTCTGTTTCGATCTATTTGTTATTTTTGTTTTTGTTTTGATTTTGGTACTGCAATTGTATAGATATAAGAAGATGTGGTATGAGTGCCAATGAGACAACTCTCCACCCAAGTCACAATTTGTAAAAGTAAACCATTATAGGTCAAAGTACGGCCTTCAACACGGAGCCTTAGCTCACACCGAACAGCAAGTTATGAAAGGGCACCAAAAATGACTAGTGTAAAACCACTCAAACGAGAAAACCAACGGTCTAATCTATATAAAAAACGAGAAACGAGAAACACTTATGAACCACATCAACAAACGACAACTACTGAACATCAGATTCCTGACTTAGGACAGGTGCAAACAATTGCAGCGGGTTTAAAAGTTTTAATGGTACCAAACCTTCACACTTATCTGAAACAAAAGTGTAACATCACAACATAGAAAGACACACTATAAAATATCAATTGCAATGACTTTACTCAATCAAAAGACATATTAACAAAAACAAGTGAACATACACTGAACGAATAAATTTGATCTATGACACAATGTAAATACAAAATTAATAAAACAAGGGGTTAGATGTAAAATAATATCAGAAAGACAACCATAACCTGGGACAAAATGCCGCCAAATAAAATAACGTACACAGGTAAATAAAAATAATTTTGTTGTAAGGTATTCATGGAGTACGGAAATAATTTTTACAAAATAAATAATTTTGTTGTTCCTAGTACGAGAACAAAAGTAAAAATTTATCGTTATATTAAACACTTATCAGGGGTGGTATATATTAAAACTAGTGAGACTAGATACAACACTGAATAAGTAAACATAAGATAACAAAAATGCATTACAAATTGTATCAACAGGTCAAATTAACAAGAAAGTACGATTTGAGAGTACTCGCAGTTACTGAAAGCTAGTTAAAAGCCAAAAACAATTAGTAAAAAAAAAAATATCATGCATTAGAGACTAAAATCAACTAAAACACATCCCAGGGAATTAGTGTTTTAACGTCATGAACAGTCAAAGAAGACATGACTTGTACAATGCCAAAATAAAAGTATCGACAGGCAATAAGATAGTTAGGAGTTAACCTGTTAATAAATATGTATAATGTAATATATAAATAAAGTATAATCTCTATATAGAAAATGAACGTGGATGTGTATTTATACATCCCAAAAAAACGTTTGAAAAGAATACAAATTTAGTTATGTTTTAATTTCGATTGACAAAATCGATATTTGTGCCAATGTAAACTATATTCAAAGATATAAATACAACATTTGTAAGATAACCTTTACTAATAAGTTTGTTTAAATTTAAGGTTCGATAAGTTTACATGGATCACATAGTGATTTCCGCGCTTTTAGTACAATATTACCGTAAAATGTAGGATGTGAAATACCGTTTTTAATAAGTTTTCTACAGGTACAGCCAAATTTACTAATCAAAGCTTTGAATCTATGAAAGAATCCCTACTATAGACGCCCAGAGATGTATAGAGAAGTAACTAACTTTTAAAAAATTAGCCTTTTCCTGTGAGGAACAAGTACCTATTACGTGACAACCGGCTTTTTTGGCCCACTGCACCTACAAATAAAACGAAATTATTTTACTTTACAAATAAATACAAGTGTTCTAGTTAAACATAACAATATGCTTTCGTAGAAGCGTAAAATGCTTTTCAGACTGACACAATTTAGGGAAAAGGGTCTGCTATACTCCAACAAATGCACATTATACAAGTTGTATGTTCTTATAGGTCACTTAGTATCCAAACACTATAGACTTTGATGTACAAATAATCAGTGAGTAAATCTGTATATAACGGCGCCTGATCAGAATTTACAAAATGAAGATTCAAAAGAAATTATAATTAAATTAAATTAAAAAATATATTCCCGGTTAACGAATGTCGATGTTAAATTGAAATTAGAAGTCACAGTAACTCGAATGAATTTCTCAACAATAAACGTTTGCAAGCATAATTCCAAAACTGTACAGATTAACAATAAATTAGTTTGTTACAAGTGCTATTTTATTACTTTTTGAAAATACAGCCTTCTGTAAGCCAGTGTCATAATTTTCTAAGCAAAAGTTCTTTAATGAAAGCAATGCGTGTAGGTCTATTTGTTTAAAAGCAATATGAAAAGCAGATATAGCATACATGTTCAATAAAACTTACTTCATTCACAGATTTAACATTATTGTGCTGATATTTAGAGTGATTATGAATATAATATGTGTTTTCAGCCGTGTATCACCTTCACTGGTGATCCAATGAATGGATCTGTCGTAGAGTTGTCACTTGTTTAGACGTACTTATATATATATATATATATAAATATAATACAAGCCCAAACGAAAAAGTATAAATAAGTCTAAATTAAAAACAACGTTCAAACCTATGATTGCGTTGGATAAAAACCGCAATTTTTATACGTGTGCATGCAAAACAAATTTCTTGGTATATATATATATATTTATATATAAATAAGTCTAAATTTAAAACAACTTTCAAACCTATGATTGAGTTGGATAAAAACCGCAATTTTTATACGTGTGCATGCATAACAAATATATATATATACAAGTCTAAATTGAAAACAACGTTCAAACCTATGATTGCGTTGGATAAAAACCGTAATTTTTATACGTGTGCATGCAAAACAAATTTCTTGGTAGTGGGGTCTAAATACAGCACAAACAACATTTTCCAAAAGACCAAAAAGGTGAAAAAGTATATTTTTTAACAAAACTCATTTGACTAACAGGTCGAACAACGGATGTTCTTCAACCCTGCTGACTGCCATATATACAGATATATACAACTCGTCTAAACATTAGCCCAACAATGTTAGATCTGTAAATTTGCTTTCGCAAATTTTTTGTTCTTCCCTCGCCGGGATTCGAACTCATGCTACTGAGATATCGTGACACCAAATCGCCTGCACTGTATCCGAAGCGCTAGACCACACGACCATATATATATATAAACAATTGAATTAAATATTAAAGCAAATGTGAACAATACAGACATAAAGTATTTAATTACACCCTAACCAGAAGGAGTGACCCTCACATTTATAATTTGTTGTAAATCTACATAGTTTTTCAAGAACAATAAAGTTACTCGACTGAGCTCATTAATTGTTGAAATTAATATATATTTGGACAAAAAGTACAATAGTGTCGTAACAACCTATTTCTGTCTTGATTTAGAGCATTACATGACTATCATAATGATATTCTTCACCGATGTCTCTTGATTCGCAAAGATGGCACAATCTACCATTTTTGGATATGTTGTTCCACCTTCCCGTCACAATAGGTAATTGGTGATTTCCACATGTAAATTTACACAATAAAAATATATTATATATATTGACAATTTGGAAAAATAACTTTCCAATATAATGTCAGATTATAAACTCATCAGTTATATTAATATTGTATTTATTTGAAAGAAAGTTACCACAAGGTACCGTCCAGCAGTAAACCCTTGCTAAAGAGTGACGTCTATTTTGTTGTGGTGTATGCATAAATACACTGCCACTTTCTGTCAGAATGAGGATGTTGAATTTGATTCCTCTTCAAGGGAGAGTGCCATTTTCTATACACTATAATCCTTGCATCAACTCTTTGAAGGGTCCGTTAGTGGCCTCTTTGCATGGCTAAATGACTGCCCATATCGAAAATACTTATCCTAATTTTACAGTGGCTGTCTAAATTTCCCACGCTTCATAACCAACTTTACAGAAACTACCTTAATATTCTCACTCAACTTATCACAATTTTATATATTTCAATCAATATTTTGGCATCGAAAGACGTCCTTAGCTACCTTATTTTGTACTCGTCCTGCATATGTATGAAATATTTTCCACTGGATAAAAAGCAAAACAATCAATTATTTACTTAACGAAAGTATTTGGATGAATACCATATAAATTACGTCTATAATCAATAATTCGTTTATTCTTTTTCTCTTTTTAAAAATATTCATCATTGAAATTCAAAATCATTTTTTATAATAACATTTTTTTCAAAAGAAATGTATAATGCATTAAAACTTTGGAAAAATAAAAATAGGTCCGTGTGCTAGTTTAGTGTGGCATTAAAATTTTGGCGGGGAAATTGTCTCAAGAATTACCTTCATAAACAATGAAAAAAAGTTCTGTTCAGCTGTTTAAAAATCATATTGAAAATTAACAATAAAAAAAAGAAGATGTGGTTTGATTGCCAATGAGACAACTCTTCACAAGAGACCAAATGACACAGAAATTAACAACTATGGGTCACTGTACGGCCTTCAACAATGAGCAAAGCCCATACCGCATAGTCAGTTATAAAAGGTCCCGAAATGACAAATGTAAAACAATTCAAACGAGAAAATTTCAAATATTTTTCAATTATATTTGATTCAAATATAAGTTTAAAAAAATCATAAGAAATTAAAATTTTGGGTTTGAGGGTTCCGGGTGAAAGTAAATACAGAAACGTAAAGTGTAGATCTTATTTTATAGGCGTCAACACTGAGGTTGTAAGTTCAAACCTCGCTCGTGTTGCAATTGAATCTATCTTAATTGTAAAGGATTTCTGTCGGGTGTCGATGGTTTTCTCCAAGTACACCAATAAAAACTGCACGCCATGATATAGCTAAGTGTGTCAGTGGCGTAGCTTGCTCTCTGTTATTACCGAGGCAGGGGTCTGTGGAGCGCAGCCCCACAGAAGCTATAGAGGTTTTGCAATTCTGATGATTGATTGATTGATTTTTGGTTGCTTAACGTCCAGTGTTTGCAATTTTGAAGAATCTAGTAAAATGATGATGGTTGTTTAAATCTATTTCATTATAATAATGTCAATACATTGTATGCCTTACACTAAGTTATACTACACATTTATTAGTTGATAACTGGTACATGCGTCGTTTTCAATGTTCAGATGAGTACATAAATGTTCACAAAACATTTATCCCTTTTTCACATCGAATCCTTTCAGTGAACTTCCAAGATTTTAAATTCATTGCGAATAAAAGATGGATATGAGGTATACGTTAATGACACAGCACGCCAACAATACAACAAAATTAAAAGTCATGTAGAGGTCGACATACGGTCTCAAACAATATATATATGTCCTTACAATATGTCAAGCTCCGAAGTTACTTTTTTTCTGTTCTCTTTGTTCCTGAAAGCCAATTTAAATACCTAATCTGCCGATATTTTTTCATGTCACCGTACACTCCTATATTGGTGGCTGTACCTCACTGTGACATTAGCTTTAACGTTATACGAGAAGGGAGACAAGACTTTATTCGATGGCCAAAAGACTCCTGAACAGAATTTTGAATGCACAAACATGAACGAAACGATAAAGGTTTAGTTTGTGATGATCATTTATTCGTTTATTCGTGGGCCACGAATCTAGGAAATAATCATATGCTACACGTAAAGTGCACCACGGCACTTTTATTGGTTGTGTTTCGCCCTGATATTTCTTGGAAGGTCTTCAAATTCTTACATTGCATGTTTTGAAATTTTTCCCATGGTGAAAATGACAACCGGCGAAGAACTAACGGAAATATTTACGCTATTCTGAAGTCTGCAGAATAAATGAAAACAGTATTTGGTTGAAAATTTTAATATATAAACTGACATCTGTATGAACAAACAGACATATACCATACATATATGTCTCTGAAATTAATGACTCCTTTAAATATTCAAAATTTCCTGCTAGTGAAAAACTATAAATTTAAAATAGCGAGAATAAAACATACACATTATTTTCTGTGCATGTTGAATGATGTATATTTTATCTTATTGGTATCAAAGTCAATGAAACTCTGAGTAATTGAAGTACTACACGTAGGGGGAAATGTCAACACACAACGATGTTTCAATTTTAGACGTTACCGGTTATATGTATGAGATTTTGAATAGGGGTCTTCAAATATTTATTTTTAATTCTTTTCGACCATAGTTTCCTTTGTTTTGTATTACACCCATTTAAATATATCTATTCCTTTTACGTTTAAATTAGTTTCAGAGCATTTTTCTGTTTTCTGTAAACCGCACCCAGACCCTCATGTACAAGAAATTATTCTCACACAAAAATAATAATTTAGCTGACTGGTCAAGATATTCGCTGGATCATCATCTATTTTACTGATTTTGCTTGGGGTAGGATTAAAAAATCTGTTCGCTTCAATTTTATCCATTTCTTTGACTCCGACATATTTCTATTACTAAAAACTACCGCAAGAGGGATTTCCAATTTGGGAAGGGAAATATTCCATAAGTCTTGAATTCGCAAAGGGTATGAATTAATAACAGCAATATGACGATGCTAGTCGGTATGTTAGTGTTAAGTAGCGAGTCTGCTGTATATGGGGGAAATTGTATTAAAGGTTTAATAAAAAAGATTTTTTTTTGTACCGAGGCCACTTACCGATGCAGCTGCCTCGGTTGCTTCTACGTAAGCTACGCCAGGGTTAATTACCAATAATCAGTCAATCATGTTATAGGGGTTCCCAGGCATCAATTGTGTAATGCATATAGCCTTCTAAAAATCCAGAAAGTGTACAAAATATTTAGGCAGAGTTGAAAACGTGAGAAGCAATTATCCTAACATGCAGGAAAAGTACAGAAAAGAGTCACACAAGGAAAGAAATAGTAGCATATATATTTTAATATAATACATACAGCAAATTGTCCTGTACCACCCGCCGCAGCTGTAAGTCGGTGTAAAAGTATGATTAAAATTCATCAACTTCATATACATTAGAGGATTTCAAAACATTTATAATTTTCTTCCTGTTCGTTTTACTTTAAAATGATGTCACAAGAAGATTGTTAAGAAAACAGCGCACTGTAAAACGTATTCACAACTTTTCTAATCTCGTGGCGATTTCGATCTTGGCGTATATATATAGTATAAGCACAAGTCTATTGGTGTAGAGCAGATGTTGAACTCTTCATATTTATGTGTGCTTGCGTTTTTGAGTTGCTGTCTGACGTATTACCTATATAACTTTTTTTCATTTATTACAAATATTTAAAAGACTGTTATAAAAGTTAAGAGATGAAATTTTAACAATGGAAATCAAAGGCAGAAATAGATAAAAAATCTGTTTTATTTATGTGCTATATGTTCTGGTTATGTGCCATGTGTTCATTGTATGTGTTATGCGTTCTATTTATGTGCTATATGTTCTATCTGTGTGCTATATGTTCTATCTGTGTGCTATATGTTCTATTTATGTGCTATATGTTCTATCTGTGTGCTATATGTTCTATCTGTGTGCTATATGTTCTATCTGTGTGCTATATGTTCTATTTATGTGCTATATGTTCTATCTGTGTTCTATATGTTCTATTATGTGTCCTTTGTATCTATACATGAGACAACCGTGTCTAAGAAATTTAATCACATTAGTTATAGATATTAACAAATTAACCTTACTTTATTTTCGATTTCCAACATTTCACAGCTGTCGAAAGTGACACTGGCATTCTGAGCGTATATTTACAATATACAGTTGAAATTAAACAAAAAAAATGGAGCTCTTTATTAGAGAAGGTAAAAAAGGCCAAGTTTCTATGGGCTTTAAAAGATTAATATAGGTTCATAATTTAGGATTTTATGCATCTATGTTTTTACTTGAGTTATAGCATGGAGCTTCGAGATGTTTTTTTAACTTTTAATTTAGAGACACATTTTCACTTAACAGTCAATTGTAGTAGGTGTAATTACATGTGGATCTTTTTTGTACACATCCTGTAAATTCAGAAATTATTGCGATGTTTTTATTAATGCGAATAATGCGACTAGGTGAGTATCGCAATAACAAGAACTCGCATTTGATAACTGAAACATAGATCTGTATGTAGAGTTTTCTTGTCCATTTTTTGAAAAAAATCGCAATAATAAATGAACGCAATAATTTCTGAATTTACAGTACGCATAAATTCCGCTGATAAAAAAATGGGCAATAATTTCATCGAAAAGTGAAAGTCGTGTACACCTTTTTATGTTCAGGCGTGTTTGATTTGACTATTTCAAAATCGTATAAAGCAAAATAATTTGACACGTCATCTCGCTTCAGATTCTATTATTTCTATATATTTAGGCTACAGATTGATATAACATTATAAACTCACAGTAATAGGGTCAAGGGAAATACCTTTCTAATGAGTCATAACAACAGAGTTGGTGTGCTTGAATACATTATTTTACTGAAAACACTGGGCGACAGACTTTACAAGTGGATCTTAAAAATGCATAACTTCCAAAGTTATCTAGGGTAATTCGTGTTCAACCTCTGAAAATTTTAGTCTGCTCTTCCACGACACATTTAATGAGATTTTTTTTTTGTTTAGGAACTTTTGAAAATTCCCCCCTCACAACCGATCAGGCAGTAGTTTCAAGTTGATTAAAGGCGATAAAGTATATTAAACGATGCTTAATAGCTACATGTAGTAGATACATTTGTCTTTTAATATACAACTCGCATATAAGGATCGTAATGATGCTATGTGGATAAATGTATCCGTTTTCAAGAGCTAAATGGACAGCGCGTCATCCCTGCAATCGCTTCCATTTTTGCGATTGAAAAAACTTGATGGCGTAATGGGGAGATAATTTTGACAAAGCAAAATCCGAATTATTTATGCACATTCATAATTTTCCTAAGCTAAAGTTAAAGCTCTCCAATTCTGAGTTTATAAATTTCATAATTTCATAAGCTTTAGTTAAAGCTCTGCAACTCTCATTTTACCGTAACCATTATTTTATTTGGTCCATTGATTTATGAAATACCAAAGATAGTATGTGTTTGGTCTTCAATTAACAGATGCACTGTCCATAATGCATATTTACTCATTAATTGGTTAGTATCAAAATCAGATACTGATGACTCGTTATTTCATTATACACGAGGTCATAGTAATATAGCAATTTCAACGGTTCAAACTGAGTAATGAATCCACACCTAAGAAGATTGATATCACTTAATGTTGACGATGGCTGTTGCAAAATCAAGCCCTACTATTGTAGCAGCTCGCTATTTTTCAGAATGATAATTAATTTAGCCAAAATATGAATAAAGCACGCAGCGTGTATCGTTTTGTTAAATGGTACTGATTTTATATTCCTGATTTAACTTATTCTAATCTATCGATATCTAGAGAAGCTTCTAGAGAAATATACTTACCAGAAACAAATACCGTTTCTCCACTCTTTAAATCGGCAAGCTGTAATATTTTGAAATCTTGATACATTTGTAGGAAGAATGTTTTTTTTTATGTTAAATAATATAATATATTAAACAAACAAGTATTACATGATGTATGCAGCACATTTAAGTAAACTTGTTTGCATATCAGATTTGTGATACATTTTTTGGGTAAAACGAATCCTGTTCATCAAAATTAGGCAAAATTTTACAAACATTGACGGCATTTAGCAAAGATTATCACAGCGTAAGGAAAGCTCAATTTAGGATTTAAAGCAGTATATCAATAACTAATTACTGGCTTAAAACCTTATACTATCGAGCTGGTTCATTTATTATGATATGGAATTGCACTTTATAAATTAAGTATTTTAAATCAATTAGTTGAACTCAGAGTTTCTGTTGTAAATTATGATTGTTTCAGATGTGTTTTGAATAAAAGTTAGTGAATTTAAGACCTTCTAGAAGTATCACAAAAATATGTGTCATGTTTATCGAAAGTACTTTTTTAAATCAACATTCTAAATACGAAGAGAAGGAAATTCAACGTAAGCCAACACTTACTGCTCGTTTGATGGAGCTAGGTACAAGTAATGGAAATTGTTCAGTGGAATACAGCCTATTTATGAAATATAAAAATATAAAGATGTGGTATGATTGCCATTGAGACAACTGACCAACAGAGACCAAATGACGTATAAGACTTGCATGAAAAATTTGCAGTACCGTCTTCAACCATAAGACAACTATCCACCAGAGTTCAAATGACGTGGATGTGATCAATTATAATTAATAAAAGACCTTTAATAATGAAAAACCCATAATGATACGTAAAGTCAGCTATAAAACATGGAAAAATATGAAGCAATTCAAACGAGAAAACTAACGGCCTAATTTAATAACTCAATTTAAGAAAAACAAAAACTGAATAACAGGTTCCTGACTTGGGACAAGTACATAAAGAATGTGACGGGGTAAACATGTTTGTTAGCTCTCAAATCTTCCCTAACCTGGGACAGTAGTGTTACAGCACAACATAAGAACAAATGGTTAAAATCAATTGCAAATGACTTAACTCAATAGATTGGTATGAAACAAATAACATAAAATCAATAGACACTAGGCACCGATCTAAGAGTACTCGCAGTTACTGAAAGCTAGTTCACAGCCAAAAACAACTGATGAATAAATCATGTTTTCTCAGACTAAAGTAACAATCAGTAACACATCCAATGGATTTAGTGTAAAGACGTCAAAAAGAATCTGAGAAACGCATTACCTTGTGTAATACCAAAATATAAATAAACGGTAACGACAGAATGTAGGGTCATGAGTACTCTGAACTGTACATGTATAGAAAAAAAAAGTATTTAAGTAAACCGTATCGACAGGATGTAGATGTCTGTATTGGATCAATGGGATCCATGGTAACCCTTCTTCCTAAAAATCACATTAAATCTTATAGGCACTTATTTCTATAAAAATATACCAGATACCTTGTCATTGTAAACTATTTGGCATTTTTACAAAACAAAAACAAAAAACAAGGGCTTGTACCCTACTGTTAATTACCTCATTTATAATTATTGACTGACCTTATCCAATGAGATGGCAGCCGTTCCTGCACTAACTTGACATGGAATATACTCAGGAGCTATTTTCTTTACTTTTGTTAATCTGTTAATTGGTACTACCTGTAAAAATATAAAACATGTTCTATTGTTTGATAATAAAACAAATCACTATGCATAGTTTGAAAACACGTCAACTAGAAACCCTGAGTTGCATGGATCACATGAACACTTCCAAATATTCTTTCTTTTTAGAATCAGTATTACAGTTTCCGCAATTTATGGCTTCTATATTCCTGATGCAAATACTTTTTATTATCGAAAATGTAAATCTAGAAACAATGTGTTGCATGGACCACGTGAACTATAACAAAAATTCATGTGGAATCCTATTTTCACAAAAAATCTAGATATTACAATACATTTAAGTAAAATGTCTTGCTATTTTATGGTACATCGAGCATCCAAAACTTTTTATTAATGAAAATAGGCTGAAAATATTTGTCATCCACTTAAACCTGAGAAGTAATTGTAAACTTGCTTGTTACAAGAAATCGTGCAATATATATAATCCTTTGTTTATAATCAATGACATTGTTCAAAAAGGAAAGCATGACGATTGTTATCAATTTTGGAGATTGAATACTGCAGAAGATGGGAAAATGTCTCGCATCAAATATAGTTTAACTCGGGAAGTCCGATTTTACAGCTAGATTCGGATAGGAAATTATGATTTTAAATGTTGTTCAATAATCTTGTAGTTATCGCGACCAAACCCAAAACGTTAATCTTTCACCTTTAGCGTGGAATAGCATGGAAAGATAATACCTAAGATTTTAGGCATCAAAATGTTCAACCTCTACTGTACAATACCTTTAATGTGAGAAAATTGATCATTTTGTTTCTTTTGTACTAGACCGACACGCTGAGTTTTTAGTCTTTGGTTTGACTCAGTCGGTTGTCGAACCCACTACCTTCGGTTCAAGGCAAGCATGCTGCTACGATGCGGTTCATTTGTATTAAAATATTACTAATGCATGTATTGTATTTTTCAATATTTGTAACAAATTAATCTTGTGGTTTCCAACGGCACACAATATAAAGGGTGGCAGAAAATTAGTAATCATTGACTAGTAAGATATTGCAATAATTCTGGTCAAATTTCTGACTACATTTTTCTTTGATTCCAATGATGTGCATTAAAGATCAAAGAAACGGAAATTTACATGCTTCGTTTTATATTCATTTTGTCTCAAATAAATTGTAAAACATCAATAAATAGCCCATCATACGCCCTTTTTCGCAATTGATTTTTTTGTACGAAAAAAAAATGTAATATTTAGAAGTTTTTTTTTATCAGAAATCAGTATATTGTCTCTGTAAAAAAAAAAGTGTTATATTTTATATATTTACGCAATATTTCGCTAAACAAATTAGCTTCATCAGGCGCGTGCAGCCATCCAGGTCAAATCGGATGTTGTTAAGAAATTTTTGTAGCTTATCGTACTTGTCCTTAAAATATTTTTTTTGCAGCTTATTGTACATTGTGATTAATATATTCAAAATAAATAACTGTGTTAGTTAAATACTATAAAGTTGAAGATTTATTCCTTTGGTTTTTGATTAAACTGTTTTCCATCCTTCTCATACAGTCCATCAGATTCAAGAGTACGTAGCTGATGCATCTCTCTCTCTCTCTCTCTCTCTCTCTCTCTCTCTCTCTCTCTCTCTCTCTGTGTTGTCTACTTTGGGTGTCCCAATTTTGGTTGATCTCTACTGACTGATTTTAAAAACGCAACACTCATTTTGTTGATTTTTTTTACTAAATCATATTTGATCCTCATACAACTACTATTCATGCTTACCATACTTCTTTCTCCTTAGAAAAAATCAACATCTGACTTACCTGTGGTTATTGGACATACCGGATTATTGAAGTCGCACGAATTTCTTAAAGCGAAATTTGGAACCCGTAAAAGATTTTTTTCAGTTTTTTTTCCTTGTGAAACAGTTCTTTCAATCCTTGGCCACACTTAATCCATCAGTTAAAAAATGATGCATCTCCATATTGCCAAGACTGAGGAATAAAAAACTGAATCAGCCCATAAGAATACTGCAAACAGGAAAACGTGAACGTGCTGCAACCAGACAATTTGACGTCAGAAACTCTTTTACTGTCCTTTCGACAACGATACAGGTAGACGGGATTTGTTGAAGACCATCAATGACCAGATCAACATGTAGTGACAATGCAACGTCAATAGAATTTGATTTGGCAACGTCATTTGCGAGACATGTTTACGGCTGCAACGTCAACTGCTAATCAAATTGCCGAATGCCATTGTGCACATATTCATGCCATAAATGTTTTTCATAACTTGAACTGCCAAGCAATCGACTGCAGAAAAACATTTAAATCCCTAAAGTTTCAACCGCATAATTGCCAAAACCAATTGTAATGGGTGGAACAACGGCAAAATCAGAAAGTCCAAAACAGAACCCAAAACATGCCGAACAGAATTGGTTGACCTTTCTGACAATAATTTTGGCGTTTGTTACATGCAGTCATTGCTTTTGACAGTGACGTGTTCTTTGGTAAGGGGAAAACCAGGGTTTCAGTGTATACCACATGATTTGAACATTGAAAATGACGTAATCAATTCAACTTTCGAACTGCCTTTTTTTTCAAAACAATGAAGTAATGAAAGAAGTTTCTGTTCATAAGTTTGTTAAACAAAAATTGCATATTTGAAAATGGGAATTAAAAAGAATAATCTAGTGATGCGTTTCTAAAGTCGGTCAGTATATTTGAAATGTGATATTTTCAAAAGTATGTCCTGTTCTTAAGAGGTGTCTCGTGATTTGGCAATTTCTTCCTTTGGTATAAAATGACCGGTGATAATTAAGTCTGATGTTGAATTTAGTTTCTGTTTCGCCAACATATTGCAGCTTGCAAGTTCCACAATTAAGAATATAAATACTATTTTCCGTTGGCGAAACAGAAACTAAATTCAATATCAGACTTAATAATCGAAAAGTGAGTCCACATTCACTTATCCAAACATCAGTATAAAGTAAGCAGTAATTTGATCCAAGTATACTAGTACGTGAATGTAAAAAAATATCTTAAATCTGACGGTTAAGGTCTCATATCCATTGAATATATTCAAATAAAAAATAACCTTACTTTTAGCAATTACAACAATTGATTAAGGTTTCAATTAAATCTATCCGAGCATACTCGAGTTAGTGTGCAACATATGTAAAATTGCCTTCTCTCTGGAACGACAAACCAGAAAAATTTAAAAATCAAATTGAGTTTGAAAATTCCTTTAATCAACAACAGCGTAAAGATTTGAGTAAGCCAATCTTAGTATGCTCTAGTAAGAGCGCTATATATGTGTGAAAAATTGCCTTAACTATGACAGTTAAAGTCCCGGTTCGTACCTCGGAAACGGCAAATACAAAAAGTTCAAAAAGGAACTTTGTTTTATCAAAACAAACCACAGTGTAAAGTTTTAAGTAAATTGATCAAAGAAAACTTGAGTTAGTGTGACTGTGTTATATGAAAAATATGTAAAAAGTCTGATAAATAAAGTTGGAGCTACAAACCAAACTATTTTCAAAATAGAAAGTGAGCTTTCTTTCTTGTATACGAATAGTATGTTAAAATTTCATGAGAATTGTTCAAAGCATTTGAGTAATTGTACGAAGTATTATAACATACGGACAGACAGACGGATTGACGGTCCGTCCGGTCGAGGGACTACGATTTACCATGATACGTCCCTTACGGGCGTATAAAAGCCCCCAAAAATGTATTAAGGTTTTAACATGTGTACCTTGTATTCACTGAAAGCTCCATAGCCAATATACATAACTGGTGTGCCAACTGCAATTGATGTGCCCGGTCCAACGGCAATAACTTCTCCAAGACCCTAGTAATAAAGTAAGATGAACTCTATACGATAAATTAAAAAAAGAATATTTCTCAAGGTCAGTATGGAACACATGAAAGGTATTGAAGTGCCTTTATATACAAACAGTATAAAGGCATTACTGAAAGCCCGTCATCTGATAAATATTGCTCGATATCAGAATAAGGAGATGTGGTTTGATTGCCAATGAGACAAACATCCAGCGAAAATCAAATGACAAGGATGTAAACCCTGAATATGATTAATATTGTCCGAAACAATAATATGGAGATGATGCACGATTGCTAATTACACAACTACCCAACTAAGATCAAAGATAACTAAATGATGTACAAAAACTACGAGTATGAAACATAACTGCACAAAACTTTTCTCCGTTAGTTTCTTATGTTCGTGATTGTTTCAAAGAAATTTGTTTGAGTCAAGTGAATCATTATGTTAAATTAAATTCTAATATGACGTGCTTCTTTCGCTTTGTAAACAACAGCGTGATAAAATTCTCGATATATCTATACTTAGCGCAGACTCAGAGATGTACATATTTTTAAAATGGCTGCTACTATTTATCTCCCACGTAAATCCACATGTATCGTAACATATGTGCAAACACAATGTGGATTTAGTTGTGCTCAAATTGAAATTGAAAAAGAAAAAGAAACTACAGAAGTTACCGTTTTTCTTATTCTAATACATAACAAAAAGAATTAATGCATAAGATCTTAAAAAAAAAAAAATTAAAATTTCGCGAAAATTCATAAATGATCTTGGCGCATTAACGTCATGTCAAAACATGACGTCATACGAATGAAAACTCTGAAATGAAAAAGCTGCAGATTATTTCGTGACGTTTACCTCTAAATTCGGATAATATCGCATTAAAATGGAGTTTTGCGGTAGTTGTTGTTTCATTTCTATTCTATTGCATCATTCGCACATTCATGGATTTCAACATGGCGGCTCACTCCTTAGTTACGACATGTCAACTGTGGATTTGACAGTAAATAGTGGCCAACGAAAAAATGTTTGAGTTAAGAATTATAAGGATTGAACACATTTTTCTAGTGGTCATTTAAGAAATAATTCATGCAAGCCTTAGATTAATTGAAATTTGTAGCTTTTATCTTACAGGGGATAAAATAGAACAGCCATACCCTTCGCTTCAGTTTTTCAAATTACCATACGGTGGTTGTCCTATTAGAATCGAAATAATCCATGCCAGCCATAGATTTGTTATCATTAAAATTTCCAACAAATCTATGGCTTGCATGAACTATTTCTTAAATAGATAGACACATTTTTGGACAATTAAATCATCATCTTTTTGTTTCAAGGGACAAGTTGGGAAGCAAACTCTGCTTTAAAATTATTCTTATAAATCTCAATCAATTTGTTTTCAAATAATTAAATGTTTAACTTATCTTTTAAATGTTCGATTATTTACCTCAAATCCACAATCAAAAGGTGGCTTAGCATTGGGGTCATACTTTCCAGCAGTAAAATTAACATCTGACGCATTTATACCTACAAATCTACAATTACAATAACATGTTTAGTATATAAACCAGCACATCTTTAATTTTTACATCAAATTCTTTAGAAACAAATAGGAACATATATATATATATATATATAGTTGAGGTTATCAAAACACTTTAATAACTAGAACGCTTAAATATGAATAACAACAAAAGTAAAATTAATTTTCAGTTTTTATATTTTGACAATTCATAAATCTAAAAGTTCAAACTAAAATTATAATATTTAAGTTTTAAGAAATCTAAAATTGTTCCATATTTTGACACCTGTAATTTATATTTCAAACAGTTATGAGATAAAGTCTGCGTTTGTTAGTGTTTTTGTGCAAGTTCAAAGTTTAAAATAAAATTTGAGTTAACATTCGCGTTATTGGTCCTGTTCAAGAAGAAATCCAGTCAGATTATAGACAGTTTCTCTAGTGGACGATAGAAAATAATAACGTTAACAGTAGACAATATTTAAATCATCATTAAACTTTGTACAGAACATGAAATGCGAGCTTCGGATCAAATGGATATGGATAAACTCATCATAGATAATAGGATTAAAATTTTGTATGCAAGACGCGTCAACAAAAAACATTGTATTTGGTGACCATATGCAATTTATTCTATTTTTATATATAAAAACAAAATCGACAAGAAAGATCCATAATGATAATTCTATAATACAGAAATTAAGATTGTTTTTCTTCAGAAATACATCTTTCAAATTTCAAGACTGTTTTTTTTTAATTTGGGGATTATACATTTATGAAAGTATATCAAGAAAAGGGCTTCGGACGCACCAAATGCATTAAGTGTTATTATTACTTTAGTTAGTTAAACTCGAGTATGTACTTCTACTATTAAAATTACGTAATGATAATGAAAATATAAGCAAGTTGAAGGTCAAAGAGGAGAATAGATATCATGTGTTATAATTTTAAATACATCTTTGTAGAAAATAGATCTAGGTAACTTTAGAAAAAAACAATGACTTAGAAGACTATCACAAGAGCTGAATGTTCGATATACTCTATCCATAGAAATGAGGCAAGTGACAAGAAACAATCAGAGTAAACATATGCACAAAGATTAGGAAGTTGAAAAGCATTAAAAACCCAAAAATTGTGCCAAATACGGCTAAGGCAATTTATGCCTGGGAGTAGAACAACCTTTTTCTTTTGATAATTAATGTAATAAATGAGAGTTATCGTTTAAATTGCCGTTTTTTTTTTAGGCCTGACATATATGAATTTTTATTTATTTACAAAACAAGTAAATTCGCAAGCACCATTTGTAAGTATTGAAAACGATATTAGCTGATGTTCGTGATTATTTTATTTACTTGTTCATGGAAAGCCCGTTATTCTATACCAACGAATATAGGTATGTCTGTACTATTCTATTCTAACAGCTTGAAATATCGTTGACAATGCGACACGTAGAGCAAAAACTTAATACAAGTAAACAAACAATTTGAACAGAAATGAGATTATGTCATTTTGAAATAATTGTAAGTACACCCACACGCCTGAATCTAGATATAAGATGTTATAGTATAATAGTAATTCAGTGATTGCAATATCTTTTATGTTTCTTACCTATTTTTAACAAGGACTTGACCTTCTTCTGGAACTGGCATGGGCGCATCAACTACTTTAGTCACATCCCGAAAATTTGTCCCAAACTTGACAGCAACAATCTTTTTGTAAGTACTTGGTAAGTTCGCCATGCTACCTATGTTTAGTGCTTCCTAAAATGGAAAAAAGTGTAACAACAAGAAGAAAAATAGGGGGAAAAACGTTCAAGAAACAAGGTTCGAACTCAGTATCATTGATAATTACCGTTCTGACTTTCGTTACCAACGACTATACGATTGCAGCTATCGACGAGTTTGACATTGAAGCATTAATATATTCATACATACAAGACTAATGTACAATTGATTCTTCACGTTCAAATAAGTTATTTTGGTTGTATAATATCTAATGATTGCCTTAATCTTGGTCGAACAAAAATGTCAAACCGCTATGATTGAATATACTCTCTGAACAATTGCAGAATCAACCTGTAACTATATAGATGTGAACAGTGTTGATACAATCAGTTTCAACTATTAAAGAATAAAATAGACGTAATATGAAATTATCTTTATGTAATTCCCTTGATTTATTGTCAAAACGTAAAATAGAGAGTCTTTTTACAAGAATTGTGTTAAACTAGAGAATTAACTAGCGTTGTGCGTTGATTATCGCCTACAGATCCATTACTTCTAATATATTCTCTAAAAAGTAAAATAACAAAAATTCCGAACTGCAAGGAAAATTCAAAATGGAAAGTCATTTATCAAATGGAAAAATCAAAAGCTCAAACACATCAAACGAGTGCATGGAACACAACTGTCATATTCCTAACTTGGTACAGGCATTTTCCTTATGTAGAAAATGATGGATTAAACCTGATACATCATTAAAAAGAAAATAAATAATATTTATCTAATAATTGTACATTCAAACTTTTTGAAACAAAAACACACATGTGTCAAGTGTTGTTTTAGGTTGATAAAAATTATTAACACTGACGAAGGCTAAATTTGTTAAGCCGAAATATTTGTCAACACGATTTTATAACATCATCTTCGAATATTCCCATCTTAAGATACTAGTACTGTTGCGGAAATTTTAAGATTTTTATAATGTGTCATAATCTGCGCAGTTTCGCCTGTTCTAGACGATCCGGTTTATGTTAAATTTGCTGGTTGGTCCTTTTTATAGGCTTCTTTATAAATATATATATATATATATATCAGGCGCGTGTAGCCATCTAGGTAAACTCGGATGTTGTTAAAAAATTTGTGCAGCTGATCGTACATGCCTTTTAATCGTATATATATATATCACTGAAGAGACATTAATTGTCGAAATCCGGATATGGTGTACAAATTTTTGCACCTCATGTTTGCGGTATACCATCTTTTCCGCAAGTTTTTTGTTTTCTATTTGGTATTAGATTAAAATTAAGATCCATTTTGTTACATCTGTGATCCGTTTATTTGGCAATCGCCATGGCAGTCAGCACGGTTTAAGAACATCCGTTGTTCGACCTGCTAGTCAAATGCGTTTTGTTAAAATATACTTTTTCACTTTTTTGGTCTTTTGGAAAATGTTGTTTGTGCTGTATTTAGACCCCTCTAACAAGAAATTTGTTTTGCATGCACACGTATAAAAATTGCGGTTTTTATCCAACGCAATCATAGGTTTGAACGTTGTTTTCAATTTAGACTTGTATATATTTTTAACAAAACGCATTTGACTAACAGGTCGAACAACAAATGTTCTTGAATCCTGCTGACTGCCATTGGCGATTGCCAAATAAACGGACCACAAGGTGTAATAAATGGATCTTAACTTTAAATTTACTACCAAACAGAAAACAATAAACTTGCGGCAAAGATGGTATACCGCAAACAAAGGTGCAAATATTTTTTGTACACCATATCCGGATTTCGACAATTAATGTCTCTTCAGTGATGTTAGGAATCAAAACGGTTATTGGAAGGCCATATAATTTACCTCTATTTGGGATAGACTCTTGAATTTTGAGGAGTCAAAATAGGATGAACGGATCATATAAACCCGAAGGCAAATATAATACAAGCCCAAACGAAAAAATATAAACAAGTCTAAATTGAAAACAACGTTCAAACCTATGATTGCGTTGGATAAAAACCGCAATTTTTATACGTGTGCATGCAAAACAAATGTCTTGTTAGAGGGGTCTAAATACAGCACAAACAACATTTTCCAAAAGACCAAAAAAGTGAAAAAGTATATTTTAACAAAACGCATTTGACTAATATATATATATATATGTGTTTATTGTTTTCTATTTGGGATTAAATTAATAGTTAAGATCCGTTTTGTTACATCTGGTGACCCGTTTATTTGGCAATCGCCAATGACAGTCAGCAGGTTTTAAGAACATCCGTTGTTCGACCTGCTAGTCAAATGCGTTTTGTTAAAATATACTTTTTCACTTTTTTGGTCTTTTGGAAAATGTTGTTTGTGCTGTTTTTACACCCCTCTACCAAGAAATTTGTTTTGCATGCACGCGTATAAAAATTGCAGTTTTTATCCAACGCAATCATAGGTTTGAACGTTGTTTTCAATTTAGACTGTTTATATATATATGACAGTATTGTTAAAATTATTGACACTGACGAAGACTATTTGTTTAGCCGAAATATTTGTCAACACGATTTTATAACAACATCTTCGTATATTACCATCTTATATTAGTTCTGTTGCGCAAATCTTTATACTTGTATAGTATTTCCTTATCTGCGCAGTATCGTCTCTTCTAGACGATCCGGTACATATTAAATTTGCTGGTTGGTCCTTTTTATAGAATATATATATCGGAAATCAGTTGAAATGAATCTCAAATTTAACCCAAAATTGTTTGATCTGCAAATTTGCGTTACCGGGATGTATCTCCTCAACGGGATTCGAACTTCATAGAATTAGATATTTTACATCTTATAAATTATGGCCACAATCTTAATTTATTAATTCAAATTTTATTTCACTAAAATATACTCCTTGCTTATATCAATGCGCTGGACAATTTTTTTTTGTCTGACCAAAAATCTACAAGAATCACTTTGAATAATGTTAATTATTAATTCAAGGTATTTGCTATATTTTTTTTATTAATTTCTCATATATTTAACTGATGCAAAACACCACCAACATAACCATGTATTTTAAGTTTGTAACTATGTAAAAACCCATATAAAATGAAAAACAAAATGTAGTTATATGTACACTGTTGATAAACGATCCACTAGTAGAAATATTGGTGTTTGCTCATGTTGAAGGCTGTACGGTGACCTGTACTTGTTCACTTTTTTGTCATTGGTCTGTAAATGCAATATTGCCACATAATCTTATTTATTATAGTAATATGTATATATATAGTTATCCTATAAAACGACAAATAATATATAATTTATGTGTTGCAATAAAACTGGTTTGAACGAAAGTCAGTTTTTTGACATGTGTTTTTATAAATAATATCGATATCACTTTTTTTACGTTCGTCTTCTTAACAATAGTTAAATACAATGATAAAGTGACGTATTTACGATACTTTCTAGACTTTCTACAAAAATGTATTACACTACAAATTTCAAGGGATAACATACTGAAACGTATTTTCATTCAAATTACAAAGGTTCAAAAGAAACTATTACCAATGCGATTGATTCGTTCTAATGTATCAGCATTTCATATGTATTTTAGACTAGACATCATCCAGTTATCCATCGAGATAACCTCCGAAGACTGCCGACGGTCATAACCCGATATTTACATAAAAATAAATAAACAGACAAGCACGTGCTGTCGTATAATGAAAATATTTCAAGATCTGTTTGATTTCATATTTTTTATTAACAATATGTGTATATCATCGTTTTACCTATATAAGAATAATTTTGTGGACCGGATCATTCAACGAAATGGTTATTCCTGGTGTCTCTATTGTTCCACTTTTCAATGTTGACATTCTTTTTGTGTTAATGAATGAACCACATGCTGAACACATTCGAAACTTTCTTTACTTAAGGTCAAGTTAGAGGTTGCAAGAATACGGATTCAAATGAGTTGAATCGTTGATTTGCAAGCCAATAATACATGAGCGATGTGTTTTTTTTTACCTCATTATCACAAAATTGAACCAAACTGATTGCCAATAGCGAAATATTATATCTATATTCCGCTTCTATAAATGGTTGAAACAAAACAATCTTATTTAAATCAATTGTCTAGTTCGTAGCTAATGTCCCTTTAAAGATAAATTATTAAGCTGGATTTATATATTATATATTTATTTTTAATTCATTTTCATTTCGTTTTATTGTATGCTACCAAGTTTCAGAACATTTCCTAATGATAAATACGTTACAAAGATATCATGGGATAGTAACGTTCGTTCATTGACATCATTTCTTAAAAATTCCTGCATTGTAAATGCCGGATGTATTGGTGACTATATGAACAAGCAACAATTCTATCTATCTATGGTAAATTCTTTTTACTACTGACAACACCTCAACACCAACCTGTTGCATCAGCTTGCCAACTTCAGACCTCAATTAAACTGATTGAAAGATTATGTCTTCATCATATTAAAATCAGAAAATAAAGCACACTCCCTCCTGTTAGGGGTTTAGTATCATACCGTCATAAAATATATAAGAACATAACCCGTATCATGCCAACAACTGGTTTCAGAATAAATGTGTTTATTTCCGATGCAAAGACCCTATGAGTAAATCAATATTGATACTTAGTTGATGGTTGAAATTAGTTTTCGGGTTATTGGCATAGGTCAATAACCATAAAACTGACTTCAACCTGAAGTCAACTGTCCAAAAATTTCACTCTAAATACACCTGGTACATTACAAGGATGCAAACTCAGTGCATTCAGCATAGATTAAAACTTTAATGTTGCAGCAATGACCTATACGATTAACAATAATGGTTGTGGCACTGCACGAAACCGACTAAACCTCAAATCACAATTTTATACTGGCAGTGAGTTTTGTGTGCTTACTGCTAGTTATTAAATACCTTTATGAATATAAACCTGAAAAGATAGGCGAAAAATACCAAAGGGATATTCAAACTCATAATAAAATTGAGAATGGAAATGGGGAATGTGTCAAAGAGACAAAAATCCGACCAAA